TTTATAGAGCCAACAGAGGTTCGTGGGGATGACGAAGATAATTCTAACTGGCTCTAGATCTCAACATTGTCTTGCAACCTTAAAAATCTGAACTCAAATCCTGGGGGACGTAGGCCGTAGGTACCAGTCTCCTAACACTTGCTGCACTTGCTCACTTCGCATTAAATAGGTGCCCGGGAGTTAGTCGTATGCTACTGATGATTCCATCAGAAATAAGTCACACTGCTTGATTTTCTCTAAACATACTAGGTTAATGTCCTCGGGGTTAATAATTAAAAGAATAACTTCTGTATCATTTCTTTGGCCATGCTGTTAAATTTTAGCTGCATTAAGAAAACGAATGGTGTTTGTACAATGTAATTTCAGTCTGGAGGACGAAGCGCCACAGTTTTATGCGAAGCATTTACTGATCGAACATAGTGAATGAAATAACTTGCTGCAAATTGAACAAGTCATAAATTGAATGAGTTAGAGCAGCACTGGTAAAAGATATCTGTGTTTGTGTGATACACTGACTGAGTTACTGACCAGATTTACTGGCCTCACGTCATCTGGACTATAGTATCATGTTGGTGGGAGCATGCTGCACCATACTGTGGTGTAAGTTGTGAATTAAACAGTGGTGTAAGCTGTGAACTAAGCAGTGGTGTAAGCTGTGAACTAGGCAGTGGTGTAAGTTGTGGTATAAGCTGTGAACTAGGCAGTGGTGTAAATTGTGGTGTAAGCTGCGAACTAAGCAGTGGTGTAAGTTGTGGCGTAAGCTGTGAACTAAGCAGTGGTGTAAGTTGTGGTGTAAGCTGTAAACTAAGCAGTGGTGTAAGTTGTGGTGTAAGCTGTGTTGTAAGCTGTGAACTAAGCAGTGGTGTAAGTTGTGGTGTAAGCTGTGAATTAAACAGTGGTGTAAGTTGTGGTGTAAGCTGTGAACTAAGCAGTGGTGCAAGTTGTGGTGTAAGCTGTGAATTAAACAGTGGTGTAAGTTGTGGTGTAAGGTGTGAACTAGGCAGTGGTGTAAGTTGTGGTACAAGCTGTGAACTAGGCAGTGGTGTAAGTTGTGGTGTAAGCTGTGAACTAAGCAGTGGTGTAAGTTGTGGTGTAAGCTGTGAACTAAGCAGTGGTGTAAGTTGTGGTGTAAGCTGTGGTGTAAGCTGTGAACTAAGCAGTGGTGTAAGTTGTGGTGTAAGCTGTGAATTAAACAGTGGTGTAAGTTGTGGTGTAAGCTGTGAACTAGGCAGTGGTGTAAGTTGTGGTATAAGCTGTGAACTAAGCAGTGGTGTAAGTTGTGGTGTAAGCTGTGAACTAAGCAGTGGTGTAAGTTGTGGTATAAGCTGTGAACTAAGCCGTGGTGTAAGTTGTGGTGTAAGCTGTGAATTAAACAGTGGTGTAAGTTGTGGTGTAAGCTGTGAACTAGACAGTGGTGTAAGTTGTGGTATAAGCTGTGAACTAGGCAGCGGTGTAAGTTGTGGCGTAAGCTGTGAACTAAGCAGTGGTGTAAGTTGTGGTGTAAGCTGTGAACTAAGCAGTGGTGTAAGTTGTGGTGTAAGCTGTGAACTAAGCAGTGGTGTAAGGTGTGGTGTAAGCTGTGAACTAAGCAGTGGTGTAAGTTGTGGTGTAAGCTGTGAACTAAGCAGTGGTGTAAGTTGTGGTGTAAGCTGTGGTGTAAGCTGTGAATTAAGCAGTGGTGTAAGCTGTGAATTAAACAGTGGTGTAAGTTGTGGTGTAAGCTGTGAACTAGACAGTGGTGTAAGTTGTGGTATAAGCTGTGAACTAGGCAGTGATGCAAGTTGTGGTGTAAGCTGTGAACTAAGCAGTGATGTAAGTTGTGGTGTAAGCTGTGAACTAACCAGTGATGTAGGTTGTGGTATAAGCTGTGAACTAACCAGTGATGTAGGTTGTGGTGTAAGCTGTGAACTAACCAGTGATGTAGGTTGTGGTGTAAGCTGTGAACTAAGCAATATTACAGAGGCTTATGGATAAAGCAGAGTCCTTAATCAAAATAATCTCGTATTTTTATTATTCATAGCACGTAAAAGAAGGCTAATAAAATACTGTATGCAATTTTTATTTAGAAGATCTGAGTTGCATTTCAGATATTTTGTGCAATATAAACTAATTAGCTTAAGCTTGCTCAGTTCATCATTTTTTTTTTTTTGGTTTGGCAACACATATATATGAAATAGTAAAAATATACCACAATAGAATAATACAAAGAAATATATATAATGATACACATATTGTTTGAAATATGTAATTACAAGACAACTCTATATGTAAGTTTCTCATTGTTTAAGATTTAAATTTCAGTGTAATCTGGTAGTGAAATCTGATGCTGATGTGTTAGAAATGTGTATCTGTGTTGATATACACTCAGCAGTGAAAACTGTGTTGATATACACTCAGCAGTGAAAACCAGATCATAACAGTGTTTAAAATATGTGTAAATTTTGAATTCTGTAAGAAAATTGTAATAATCATTCAGAAAACCGACAAGTTGATAACTGAGACACTTGTGCAACATTTAGGTACCTTTATTCTGGAAATGTTGCACAAGTGTCTCGTTTATCAAGACACTTACAGTATGCTGAAACACTGTTTACTGTACTTCAACAATGCTGGTTGAGTCGGTGCAGTGTTTACAGTGTAACACAGACACAAGCGTACGCTTTCCGGATAACGTCATAATTTTTTCTACTATTATTATTATCAACAACTAATTCAGCTCCGCATCATGAATTATTATAAAGTCTCGATAATATGGGTTAACTGTGAACTGTTCCAGCCACGGTATTGTGAGTTGTGAAATCTTTCAATCATTGTGGCTTAGCTGTGAACTGTTCCAGCTGCGGAAATGTAACTTTTATTTTTACTCAACATCTAAAGTTGATGCCCAGTATTGCGCCTGACGTATGAGTCAGATGCCTGACGTATGAGTCAGATGCCTGACGTATGAGTCAGATGCCTGACGTATGAGCCAGATACCTGACGTATGAGTTAGATGCCTGACGTATGAGTCAGATGCCTGACGTATGAGTCAGATACCTGACGTATGAGTCAGATACCTGACGTATGAGTCAGATACCTGACGTATGAGTCAGATGCCTGACGTATGAGTCAGATGCCTGACGTATGCGTCAGATACCTGACGTATGAGTCAGATGCCTGACGTATGAGTAAGATGCCTGACGTATGAGTCAGATGCCTGACGTATGAGTCAGATACCTGACGTATGAGTTAGATACCTGACGTATAAGTCAGATGCCTGACGCATGAGTCAGATACCTGACGTATGAGTTAGATACCTGACGTATGAGTCAGATGCCTGACGCATGAGTCAGATACCTGACGTATGAGTCAGATACCTGACGTATGAGCCAGATACCTGACGTATGAGTCAGATACCTGACGTATGAGTCAGATACCTGACGTATGAGTCAGATGCCTGACGCATGAGTCAGATACTTGACGTATGAGTCAGATACCTGACGTATGAGTCAGATACCTGACGTATGAGTCAGATACCTGACGTATGAGTCAGATACCTGACGTATGAGCCAGATACCTGAACGTATGAGTCAGATACCTGACGTATGAGTCAGATGCCTGACGCATGAGTCAGATACCTGACGTATGAGTTAGATACCTGACGTATGAGTCATGCCTGACGCATGAGTCAGATACCTGACGTATGAGTCAGATACCTGACGTATGAGCCAGATACCTGACGTATGAGTCAGATACCTGACGTATGAGTCAGATACCTGACGTATGAGTCAGATACCTGACGTATGAGTCAGATACCTGACGTATGAGTCAGATACCTGACGTATGAGTCAGATGCCTGACGTATGACTCAGATACCTGACGTATGAGCCAGATACCTGACGTATGAGTCAGATACCTGACGTATGAGTCAGATACCTGACGTATGAGTCAGATACCTGACGTATGAGTCAGATGCCTGACGTATGAGCCAGATACCTGACGTATGAGTCAGATACCTGACGTATCTGGAGTTTATCTGGAGAGAGTTCCGGGGGTCAACGCCCCCGCGGCCCGGTCTGTGACCAGGCCTCCTTAGGTCAGTGTCCCAAGATGCGACCCACACCAGTCGACTAACACCCAGGTACCCATTTTACTGATGGGGAACATAGACAACAGGTGGAAAGAAACACGTCCAATGTTTCTACTCTGGCTGGGAATCGAACCCAGGCCCTCACCGTGTGAAGCGAGAACGTTAACCACCAGGCCACCAGAGTCAGATACCTGACGTATGAGTCAGATACCTGACGTATGAGTCAGATACCTGACGTATGAGTCAGATACCTGACGTATGAGTCAGATACCTGACGTATGAGCCAGATACCTGACGTATGAGTCAGATACCTGACGTATGAGTCAGATGCCTGACGTATGAGTCAGATGCCTGACGTATGAGTCAGAATATTTCAGAATACGCCTTGATCTGACTGGTGATAGCAGTAATGTGTTGTCTATTAGCCTCATCCTCACAGACAGGCGCCAGGTATTCAGCCTATACAACTTGGGCTGAAGGACCCACATGGGTTTAGCGTCTCGAGAAATACAATATAATACAATATAATACAATAGGGGATGATGTTATAAATTAAGAAACAACTAATTTTTCCAGTATATTGTATTCATGTTCCGATATTCTCACTCATAATAAAGTAGTTGAGAAAGTTGCTCTTATTATATTAATAGAGAGGCGCTAAACCCACAGGGGCCATAGAGATCCCTGGGAAATGGGATGTAATAAGTTTCGCTCAAAGAGAGAGTATTTTCAATTTATTGGACAAAGAGCCCGTCCTCCCGTAGACTGTAACGCACAAAAATTATACATTCATACATTTGTGTGTGTGTGTTTATATATATATATATATATATATATATATATATATATATATATATATATATTATATATATATATATATATATATATATATATAATATATATATATATATATATATATATATTATATTAATATATATATTATAACGTACAGTAACATACACAGCAGATATTCGAAAGTAATTAAAAAGAGTAGTGAGAAAATCATGCTAGGCTAATTATCATATAGCATATGCACAAAGTATATTCAAATTGTGATATTAGTATAATGTTTTAGACAAGTAATAAATCTAAGATATATTTTTTATAATTCCATTGATATCCTGTTTCTATACATTGAACAATGTTCAGTAAACCTTTTTGTGAAGTGATTTTGCTTTTTCCAGTCAAAATCTTGTGAATTTTGACATTTGTATTGAAAAAATAACACTCAATCATGCCCACTTTTAACTGTACTTTTATGCTACTTAACATTTTAAGACATTTCTTTACTCATTTATCCTACATAGAGATGGTCACAGTCAGTGCACAGGATCGTGCACGGGATCGTGCACGGGATCGTGCACAGGATCGTGCACACACGTCTAAACGAGAAGGTGAATCTCTAGTCATAGAGGTTTTCAATGCACGACTTGTTTAGTTCTGGATTTATACTGAGACTTCATGACCAGCGAGATGTTTACAAAGTTTTCATAATTATTGCCAAAACAAACTTTCCCCGAGAATAAATTTCTCTTGTTGCTGAGTTGTATTTTTTTCAGTTTCATTCAGATAATCTATAACATTTTTGTTTACCGCAATTAATTAGTGACCTTATAGATTTTTTTACATTTCTTCATTAATATACTCATTGTTACAGACACAAATCTCTGAGAAACATACACAATAATGCTGGTCCTTTCATTTTCCCTGGATAATCAGAATGAAAATGTGGGGCTTCCAATATATGTGAAGTAAATATTCTGTCAACACTATAAATGTAAATATTAAAAAATGGCAAAGAACCACTTGTTATGCTTCAGTGGTGAATATGCATGAAGAAAGATTATTAAACTGGGAATGAAGTCTTTCAGATAAGGAGACGGCAGTCAGTGGCACACAATACCGTCTATATATATATACTTGGTACTAACATGTAGTATTTCACTGAGTCTTATTTTCAGAGACTTATATATAAAATTACTCAGGATTGCTGATAAAGCATTTCCTACAGCTAGTCAAAGAAACTTTCTATTAAAACAGTGACATAAAAAATATATTAAAATTTGTGGACTTACTGATACGCTGTAACTTGTTAATGAAGTGGATGTTGTTCTTAATGTATTACGAGGAAATTGTACAACAGAAGGATATAAGATATTTATCAACCAGGTGGACAGAGTGAATGAGATTCGACTCGGTTACACTGATTAAGGTTTCAACAGAATTTTTGGGTATGTGGATTATTTTCATGGAAAAGTTTCTTATTTTTTATCCAATGAATAATTTTTACTTTAATCTATAAACTTTTTCTATCTGTGCTTAACCTGTCTCTAGAAATATTTCATAACATTCTTCTCTCATGCATTCCTTCCAATATACATGAAAAAGTGTATTTAAATTGCTCAAAAACTGCAATATATTTTTACATAGAAAGTTTATAAAATGCAATTGCTGTACTTCCTCTATGGTACAAAAACGAGGAAACTAGACTACTAGTATTGAAAATATTGATAATAAACAAGATGGCGACACCGAAGCACTCGGGAAGGCGGCAGCAGAGATTCAGGTCACTGGTCTTAGTAAATCAGTGAACACAGCCGTCTTCCACACCAAAAATGGATATTATTTATTCACAAAAATCTTAAAAAAAAAAAAATTGTGGTATGGGCTTTTTGCCACAATAGTTGATTCGTTATGCACAGGGCTCAGGTTCGCTATATACACGATTAAGATACAGGACTGTTTTGCGTCACTATGTACAGGGCTTGGGTCCGCTATGTACAGCACTCAGATACAGAACTTAGATTTTCTATGTACAGGGCTCAGGTTCACTATATACAGCACTCGAGAACGTGTTTCTCTTAACCTAATTATTGTCTTGAATTAAATAACACGTATAACACGTATTTCTCCTTCCTTCAGGTTAGAAGTAAATCTCGTAAGGCGAATCTTTCATATCTCATAGAGATATTCGCTGAATATATTGCATCACATACATAGAGTGATATTCTTAGTTATACTCCTAAGTATACTCTAATATTGGATACAGTTTTCGACAAATAACAAAATGCTATATATTATATTAATAAGAAAAATATCATCCTACTAAGATACTACAAATCTTAATCTTGACGTTGGGAGATCTGGAGCTACGTCGTTGTCACAGCTGATGTGCGAGTGTTCCTCTCCAGTGGTTGCTTTATTAGGTTTAAAATCTAGTGGCTACACGAGGGTCATTACGGCTGCATGTCACCTGCACACCACCAATTATACTTTGATACCCAATATAGGGAGTCAAGGACACCTTAATACCCAACATAGAGATAAAGTAAACTCTAATTGTATATGTACCGAGATATATGTCCCTCTCTGTATACACACCATTGCTCTCAGTGCATACATATCAAGAGAAATACAGTTTTCAGAATATATACAAGTGTACTTTTTTCCAGCTGGACGCTCAAAATATTATTAGGAAAATAGTGATAACAATTAAAGAAATACTAGCAAGACTGCCGACGTGTCATCAGTGGGTTGTTAGCCCTCACACACGATATTTACAAAGACATATGAATGCGTTGCTATTGACTCTGGATACTGCAAAATGTCTCAATACAATTTTGGATTTTTAATCCAATATTTGTTATCTTGAATAAGCACAGGTATCAAACTGAACGCGAAACTGCTTAAGTGTTGCCCTCGTATCGTAGAACTGAGGACTGTCATCCATAACAACACTCAACCAATTACTCATGGCACTGTATGGTGATTTCTCAATTGTGCATTCAACACGGCTTATGAGGAACTTGCATAAAAGACTAATAATCCTCCAACAGTATTCCAAGCACAACTACATCAAAACAATTGTCCAGTAAATGAGATTGAAGATGACGAGGAGTCCCAAGACAAGGACTCGGGCGCCTAGGATGATCTTCTCAAAAAGCGGTCTCGTCTTTGCACCAGGGAAAGAGATGCTAGAAGTCGAATGCTTGAAACACATATCCATGAGTCTCCACAACCTATTACTGGATTCCTCTACATCCGGTGGCTCTCCTGACTCGTCCATAGTCACCTTTTCTCCCTGCGACGGATGGACTGTGTTGGAGGTGGAAGACCTGACGGAGGGAGCCGGTGAAATCTTTTTGATACCTGAGGCAGTCTGGGTATTTGTTGGCTCCCACTCCCTCACTCGGTCTATCACAGTGTGAAGCACGATGATGATGAAGATGAAAAATATGCTTGACAAAAGCCAAACATCCACCATCTTGAAGTAGGAGGTCTTAGGTAGTGAGGCAGAGGCCTGGAATAATAAACACCGATTACAGTATTTCATGACATGAGAGGTAGTGTTGTGTACCAGGTTCAAGCACAGCGTATACCATATCAGACGTGTGGTTGTAATCTTGTTTTCTGTGGCGTTCTCAACAAATAATTAACTTTGAATCTGGCACTTATTAGCATAACTATTCTTTGTAAAATTAAATGTATTATATTTAGAAGTAGTTAGTGTTTTTCCGATTAATGGACGGAGGTTCAAGCCTCCACCACTCCTTCCACTGAATGACCCACATAAGTTTAGCGATTTACAAAAAAAAAAAATAATTGAAATATGAATCTTCAAGAAGTAATGTCGTACAATGATGTGGTACGCAGCCATAAAAAAAAAAAACACGGTACGGGAGGGGGTTGAACTTGCGGTGGGTGAGTCGTAAAACTCCAGATCGACGTGTTAACCACTGGGCCAGCTGGCTACAATAAGATTCATCCAACTAGGTGAGTTTTACGACTCACTCACCGCGAGTTCAATCCCCGCCCATACCCTGGTTTGTTTGCAATAGTGTCATTACGATTTCCTGAGTCATGCAGCCATAGTCTTCCAAGTCATTTCTTTCTCTCAATGAACAATTTCATAAACGCTGCTAATAAATATTCAGGTGAAGTCACCGTAATACAGCTGAGTAATGAAAAAAGTTTTGTTTAACTAAACATGTTCATTCACTCTAAGTCAATCCTCGCCAGTACCGTGTTTCCTAAAGTCACACACACACACACACACACACACACACACACACACACACACACACACCACACACACACACACACACACACACACACACTAACGTGTATAGTATGCAAGGTCATGGAGAAGATCATCAGGAGGAGAGTGGTGGAGCACCTGGAAAGAAACAAGTGTATAACTGACAACCAGCACGGTTTCAGGGAAGGAAAATCCTGTGTCACAAACCTACTAGAGTTTTATGACAAGGTGACAGAAGTAAGACAAGAGAGAGAGGGGTGGATCGACTGCATTTTTTTGGACTGCAAGAAGGCCTTCGACACAGTTCCTCAGAAGAGGTTACTGCAAAAGCTAGAGGATCAGGCACACATAACAGGAAAGGCACTGCAATGGATCAGAGAATACCTTACAGGGAGGCAACAACGAGTCATGGTACGTTACGAGGTGTCAGAGTGGGCGCCTGTGAAAAGCGGGGTTCCACAGGGTCAGTCCTAGGACTGTGCTGTTCTTGGTATATATGAACGACATAACGGAAGGGATAGACTCAGAAGTGTCCTTGTTTGCAGATGATGTTGAATGTTAATGAAAAGAATCAAATCGGATGAGGATCAGGCAGGACTACAAAGAGACCTGGACAGGCTACAAGCCTGGTCCAGCAACTGGCTCTTGAGTTTAACCCTGCCAAATGCAAAGTCATGAAGATTGGGGAAGGGCAAAGAAGAACGCAGACACAATATAGTTTAGATGGCCAAAGACTGCAAACCTCACTCAAGGAAAAAGATCTGGGGTGAGTATTAACACCGAGCATATCTCTGAGGCGCACATCAATCAGATAACTGCTGCAGCATACGGGCGCCTGGCAAACCTACGGATAGTGTTCCGATACCTCAGTAAGGATTCGTTCAAGACTCTGTATACCATTTACGTCAGGCCCATACTGGAGTATGCAGCATCAGTTTGGAATCCACACCTAGTCAAGCACGTCAAGAAATTAGAGAAAGTGCAAAGGTTTGCAACAAGACTAGCCCAAGAGCTACGGAGATTGTCCTACGAAGAAAGGTCGAGGGAAATCGGCCTGACGACACTGGGGGACAGGAGCGTCAGGGGAGACATGATAACGACATATAATATACTGCGTGGAATAGACAAGGTGGACAAAGACGGGATGTTCCAGAGATGGGACACAGACACAAGAGGTCACAATTGGAAGTTGAAGACTCAGATGAATCAAAGGGATGTTAGGAAGTATTTCTTCAGTCATAGAGTAGTCAAGCCGTGGAATAGCCTAGAAAGTGACGTAGTGGTGGCGGGATCCATACATAGTTTTAAGGCGAGGTATGATAAAGCTCATGGTGCAGGGAGAGAGAGGACCTAGTAGCAATCAGCGAAGAGGCGGGGCCAGGAGCTATGAATCGACCCCTGCAACACAAATAGGTGAGTACACACACACACACACACACACACACAACACACACACACACACACCACACACACACACACACCGACACACACACACACACACACACCACACACACACACACACACACACACACACACACACACACACACACACACACACACACACACACACACCGACACACACACACACACACTCATACATACACACACACACCGACACACACACACCGACACACACACACACACACACACACACACACACACACACACACACACACACACACACACAACCGACACACACATACACACACACACACACACACACACACACACACACACATGCACACACGCACACACACACACACACCACACACACACACACACACACACACATGCACACACACACACACACACACACACACACACACACACACACACACACACACACACACACACACACACACACATGCATGCACATACAACAGGCCAAGTGTCTAATCGACATGTGCCTAGGACCAAATGGTAACTAACTAACACACACAAAACTAACACTCTCAGTTTCTGTATACTTTAAACCATGGTTTCCTGTCTCTTCCTCTGCCCTCCCGCCTTTTTCTTTTTTTACATTTGTGTAAGCAAGTAACTATCATAGTGTATTGTGCCACCACAATGTAGATGTATTCAGTTTTATTAAGAAAAAAAAACGCCTCTTTCATTCCTCGGTTTTATCCGTCTCCCTCACCTATCTCCCCTTCGTCTTGACCCTCTTCCTCTTGTACGTACCTGCGTGTAGAGGGTTGCCATGACGAGGAGGGAAGTGAGGGAAGCGAGGACCCGGACCTGGAAGTTTGAGGGTGTGAAGTAGAGGGTGAGGTAACTGATGACCAGCAGCAGCAGCGACGGGATGTACACGTTCATGATGATGAAGCCAGAGCGTCGTAGCAGCTGCACTGTACACACCACAACATATAAGGTTAATATAGCAGCCTCAAATGGATGACTTATATACTATGTCTACACTGAAGACTCATACTTGATAAACAATCCACAGAGAGTAGGATGAATTAAAATCACTTGAATTCAAATGGCAATAATATGGCCAGAATTATTTATAATTTATAATCCCATTTTCATTGAAAATAGGTTAGTATATATTAGACTTTCATTAAAAAAGTATTCTATGAGTTAAGGACATTTGTATATAGAAAAAAAATATCAACACAAAACATTTGGAAAATGATTATGAACATGAGCCAACAACCGCCCAACAGCCGCCCAACAGCCGCCCAACAGCCCCCCAACAGTCTGATTACAAATTGTTTTCGTAAAAATGATCAACATTCGGATTATTAATTATATTCTCTGGTGAGCACTAAGCCCTTATGGATCAAACAGCGCCTGTGGAATGAAATTCAGAGTCATTCCCGTACATGAATATTTTGTCCAGACATAGAAAATACATAGACGTTAGTTGGAGATAAAACAGATTATACTAGTTTTTATGACCAGTTCAACATTCACACTAAAACAAAAAGAAAAAAATATGACCCCAGTTATGAACTTAAATAATGTAAAGAATGAATTATACGGAGCAGTTGTATAATGTGGGAGACTGTCAGATAGACGCTAGTGGAGACTAAGTGTTTCTTTTAAAGTTCTGATGTGTTGTTGGAGTATCTACAAAGGTATCATTTATGAAGGGATTCAAGGAAACCTGTTAGCTGGACTTGAGTCTAAGAGGTGGGAATCAGAGTGCCTGTACTCTGGAGTAGTGGGGATGTTGCAGTTCGGAAGGTCGTATAAACTGTGATATTCTCTCTTTATGGTAAGAGAGCTATTGAAAGAAAAGTCAGTCTCCGCCTCCTATCAAGACTAATTCGAAATTACTTCTACTGTCTCCATTGTTATATTTGTCTGTAATGAGGGAGCCAAACTTTTCAGCAAGTGTCGCACATGTGTCTCATTCACCACCTTGTTAGTATTGCATAAAATGAGTAATATGATACGACACTAAAGACTGTAGAGCTAGACGAGGATGAGTTAAGATTGTGGGATCATGATTTAAATGAAAAATCAAATCCATAAAATACAACTGGAAATTCGCATACGGATAATGAGTAAATCCATCAGCATGAGCCACCAAGGAATCACCTTGAGACTAGAGTTCTTCAGAGATTACCGTGTTAATGTGTCGTACCACAGTTAAAACAAAACAAGAAACATATACAGGTGAACCAGAAGGAAGCCTCGTGCGGCGAGTTCTTGACTCATGTCTGCCTTACATTACTACTACAGTCGCCTCTGTGGAATTAATTCACGAAATTGGGAAGTAGCCACTCGCCCGAGACTTCATATCAGGTAGATATTTCTTCCGTGCTTAGTTTTGAAGTTTCTGTGACTTTACATAGCGCTAACACAGAGACTACTGTGTCTGTACACAGATGTGTTAACACAGAACCTGACAACTCGTGGTTCAGCTTTCTTTATGAATCATGCATAACAATCTATTTTTATATATCACAATTATGGTATAATAATTTATGGCATTGAAACATGAAAAATATAAATAAACGTTTAATTGATGGTTCTGCAATTACACAATAAAAGAGCTGTAGGTAAAATAGACTAATGCGCATATTAATGCGCATGACTGAGAGGTAGAGTGTTCTGCTGACATCTGTAATCACCTGGGTATCATCTATCAGCAAATAAGTAGATGGACATTAATCGACTGCTGTGGGTGGCATCCCGGGGAAGGCACCACGGAGAGGGGCTGAGTTTTGAAATGCTCTGTAATAAGGTATTATTTAAAGATCAAATAAATAGCTAGCGAAATACCACATTAAGTTTTGAACATCTCACTTCAGCAGACTGAGTCAACAGGATCATAAGTCTGAATAGTCGGGGATTGTTAATGGAGGAGCAAAACATAAGGGAGAGGGAGGAATTTCTTTTGGTTTGTAGAGTGACCGTCCAGGTCCTGGTGGTGACACGACTCTCCCGTCAGTACCTCTTGTCACAGTCCAGGTCCTGGTGATGACACGACTCTCCCGTCAGTACCTCTTGTCACAGTCCAGGTCCTGGTGGTGACACGACTCTCCCGTCAGTACCTCTTGTCACAGTCCAGGTCCTGGTGGTGACACGACTCTCCCGTCAGTACCTCTTGTCACCGTCCAGGTCCTGGTACACGACTCTCCCGTCAGTACCTCTTGTCACAGTCCAGGTCCTGGTGATGACACGACTCTCCCGTCAGTACCTCTTGTTACAGTCCAGGTCCTGGTGGTGACACGACTCTCCCGTCAGTACCTCTTGTTACCGTCCAGGTCCTGGTGGTGACACGACTCTCCCGTCAGTACCTCTTGTTACAGTCCAGGTCCTGGTGGTGACACGACTCTCCCGTCAGTACCTCTTGTCACCGTCCAGGTTCTGGTACACGACTCTCCCGTCAGTACCTCTTGTCACAGTCCAGGTCCTGGTGGTGACACGACTCTCCCGTCAGTACCTCTTGTCACAGTCCAGGTCATAGTGGTGACACGATTCTCCCGTCAGTACCTCTTGTCACCGTCCAGGTCCTGGTGGTGACACGACTTTCCCGTCAGTACCTCTTGTCACCGTCCAGGTCCTGGTAGTGACAGGACTCTCCCGTCAGTACATCTTGTAATAACTAACAATTAACTCGCAATTTAAAGACGACGTTGTCGATGATTTTTCCGTCCTTCCTGAGCCATTGGAAAGTGATGTTGTTGGACGAAGGAAAAGGTCTTTCAAAGTGAGAGGTTCTAGTTGACAACTGCTTCAGCCACGGAAGTGTGAATATTATTTCACATCCGGCTAATTATATCAATCATATTTATTTATGTATTTATTTTAACGAACAGAAAACTCAGAGCGAACAAATTACTAACTAAAAAACAGCAACTCACGTTTTATAATCATGACCGCGAAGTCCCTGTCGTTGTGGAAGTCGACATCGACGTCTCCCACGAAGTACTCGACGAGCTGTGGGTTGCCCCGGTAGATGGCCTTGGTGGCAGCCTTGTCGAACACCAGCAGACGGGAGGAGGCAGACAGCATGGTCAGCTCCATGTGACAGAACTGTCAACACACAAACAATGTCAGGGTCAAAACCTGCACCTGGAGACCAATATCCAGTTCTAGGAAGTGCCATTAATGACGCTCAAGTAAAATCAATAATGCTCGGGTACCTTGCTTAAAAAAAATAGCTCATTCTCACAGTTTTCGTATTTAACTTGCTTAAAATCCTACACTATAAAATATACCAATAAGTATAACACAGACACAAATTGTCTCTACACCCACAGCAGGACTCGAACGTGCAAACTCTGTATCAGAGTACACAGTACTTTACCACGGAGCCAGACCCAGATAAGTTCGGGCGCCTAGCCAGAGCTAGACGATGTTTCCCCATACCCCGGGGCACCAGGTAAAGTACTGTATACTCTGATACAGAGTTTGCAGGTTCGAGTCCTGCTGTGGACGTAGAGTCAATGTTTATAAATAATTTCACCTGTTTGCGAATTGTTAAGCATATATATATATATAAATATATATATATTATATATTTATATATATATATATATATTATATATATATATATATATATGTAATATATATATATATTTCTTTTTTAAACACACCGGCCTATATATATATATATATATATATATATATATATATTTTATATTTTATATATATATATATATATATATATACAGTGGTCCCCGCTTTTCGTAGTTCCCGGCAGTCGTAAAATTCGCCAATCATAGGGGTATTTTCGTAATAAACATGGACTCGCTCTTCATAGGTTGACTCGCGAGTCGTAGTTTGTTCGTTCGGGACGCGTACCCACGGTGTGAGCCAGGGCGGCAGCCAGTCTGGCATTGTTTACCAGTGAGCGAAGGTCCCCTCACGTGCTCCAGCGAAATATTTCATAATATTCCATTTATTTTAGTGCTTGCAAGTACTAAATAAGCTACCATGGCTCCAAAGAAAGCTCTAGTGCCAAGCCTGTGGTAAAGAAAGTGAGAAATACGATTGAATTTAAGAAAACCATCATTGAACAATATGAAAGTGGTACAAGTGTGGCCGAACTGTCCAGGATGTATAAGAAACCCTACACAACCTTATGTTCCATAGTGGCCAAGAAAAATGAAATAAAGGATGCTGTTGTTGCAAAGGGAGTAACTATGCTGACAAAAATGAGATCACCAGTACTGGAAGAGGTTGAGAAGTTAAATTTTTGGTGTGGATAAAATGAGTAACAATTAGCAGGAGATACTCTTATAACTTCGTTTATTTGTGAAAAGGCTAGGCAGTTGCATGAAGAAATTTGGTAAAGAAATTGCCTGCAAATAGTGGTGAAGTGAGTGAATTTAAGGCCAGCAAAGGCTGGTTTGAGAGATTTAAGAACCGTACCTGGCATACACAGTGTGGTAAGGCATGGTGAGGCTGCCAGTTCGGACCACAGGGCGGCTGAAAAATATGTGCATGAATTCCAGGAGTACATAGAGGCTGAAGGACTGAAACCTGAACAAGTGTTCAATTGTGACGAAACAGGCCTCTTTGGAAGAAAATGCCAAAGAGGACCTTCATTACACAAGAGGGAAAAGGCAATGCCAGGACACAAGCCCATGAAAGACAGGCTGACGCTAATGTTCTGTGCTAATGCTAGTGGGGATTTCAAAGTGAAGCTAAATTTCTAGGGGTTCCCCTTCTGGGAAAATCCCGTGTTCAGGAAAAACAAAGTTATGGAAAAGTAAATTTTTGTGTTTGGAATCTAATAGTAAGGGATGGGTTTTCCCCCCGGGAAAAATTTTGTCGATTTGGGTTCAAAAAAAAATGTTTGGCCCTAGGGTGAAGGGGTATCCCTGGAAAAAAATTTGGAATTTCCAAATGCCTGCCGGGAATGGACAATGCCCCCTGCTCACCCCCAAACTTGGATGACTAAATTTTTTGAGGAGTCTGGGTTCATTTACAAAATAAAATTCTTGCCCCCCAAAAACCACTCCTTCCTCCAAACCCCCTGGACCCGAGGTTATTGCAAAATTTAAAAACCCCTACACAAAAAACAATGTTTACAGGTTTCCCTTGGGCTGTGACCACGAAAAGCCTCTGTCCCGGGTTTTGGAGCCCCTGTACAGTGTGTGGAGCCTCCCGAAAAGTGTGTGGAGCCTCGTAAGTTGGGGTGGAGCCTCTGTAAAAGTGTTTTGGGCCTCTGTACCGTGTGTGCCGCCTCTGTTTCCCGTGTTTGGAGGGCCCCTGTACCCGGGGGGGGAGCCTTGTACCCGTGGTGCAGGGCCCCCTGGACAGTGTTTTTGGGCCTCTGTTGGGGTTTTGGGCCTTGTTTTGTGTGTGGAGCCTCCGTACAGTGTGTGGGGCCCCCTGAAAAGGGGGTGTGCAAACCCCTCTGTACAGTGTGTGCAGCCCCTGGGAAGTTGGGTGGAGGGCCCCTGTAGAGTGTGTGGAGCCCCCTGTACAGTGTGTGGGCCCCTGAAAAGTGTGTGGAGCCCTTTTCAGGTGATGGGCCTCGTAACGGTGTGGGCCTCTGTACAGTGTTTTGGGGGCCCCGGTTTTAAAATGTTTTGGAGCCTCTGTTTCAGTTTTGGGGAGCCTTGTACAGTGTGTGGAGCCTCTGTACAGGTGTGTTTTGGGGCCTTGTAAAAGTGTGTGGGCCTCGGGAGTGGGGTTTGGGGCCTTGTACAGTGTGTGGGCCTTTTAAATGTGTGGGCCCCTCTTTTACCCGTTGTGTGGAGCCTTTTGTACAGTGGGGAGGCCTCCCGCACCAAATGGGTGGAGCCTTCCCGTTACAGGGGTGGGGTTAGCTTTGTTAAAAGTTTGTGGGGGCCTCTGTACAGTTTTGTGGAGCCCCTGTACAGTGGGGGGGGAGGGCCCCTGTTTCCCGTGTGTGGGGCCTCTGTAATTTTGGGGCCCTTTTGAAAAGGGGTGGGGGGCCTCTGGACGTGGTGGGGCCTCTGTCCGTGTGGGGGCCTCTGTACAGGGGTGTGGAGGCCCCTGTTTCAGTGTGTGGAGCCCCTTTTTTACAGTGTGGGAGCCTTTTGGCGTGTTGGGGGCCCCTTTTACAGTTTTGGGGAGTCTTCTGTTAAAAGTGTGTTTGGGGCCCCCTTTTACAGTGTTTTTTGGAGCCTTTTGTACAGGTGTGGAGCCTCTTTACAGGTGTGGAGCTCTGTACAGTTTTGTGGAGCCTCCCGTACAGTGGTGGGGGCCTTCCCGTAACAGTGTGTGGGGGCCCTCGGGGACAGTGTGGGGAGGCCCTCTGTTTAAAAAGTGTGTTGGGGGGCCTTTTGTACAGGTTTTGGGGGAGCCCCCTGAAAAGGGGTGTGGGCCTCTGTAAAAATTGTTTTTGGGGGGGCCTCTGTACAAATGTGGGGAGCCTTTTTTACAGTGTGTGGGGCCCCCTGTACAGTGTTTTGGAAAATCAGGACGTGTGTGGAGCCCCTGTACGTGGGTGGAAACCCCTGTCATGTTGGGGGGGTCCTGTACAGTGTGTAGAGCCTTGTTCAGTGTGTGAAACCTCTTCAGTGTTTTGGGGGGCCTCTGTTTCAGGTTTTGGGGCCTCTGTACCGGTGGGGGAGTCTCTGTCCCGTGTTTGGAGGCCCTTTTTCGGGTGTGGGCCTTGTACCAGTGTGGGGGCCTCCCGAAAAAGTGTTTTGGAGGCCCCCTGTTCAGTGTGTGGGCCCCTGTACAGTGTGGGGGAAACCCCGTACAGGGTTTTGGGGGTCTCGGTACAGGGTGTGGAGCCTTCCCGTACAGGGGTGTGGGCCCCCTATTTCAGTGTGTGGGCCCTGTTTCAGTTTTTTTGGGCCCCTGTCAGTGTGGGGGGGGTCTCTGTACAGTGTGTGGAGCCTCTTTACAGTGTGTGGAGCCTCTGTACAGTTTTGTGGAGCCTTGTACGTGTGTGGAGCCTCTGTTCAAGGGTTTTTGGAGGGCCCCTTTTGTTTTTTGGGGAGCCCTGCAGGTGGGGAGTTCCTGTACAGTTTTTTGTGGAGCCTTTACAGTGTGTGGAGCCTCTAACGTGTTGGGGGCCCCGTACAGTGTTTGGGGCGTTGTACAGTGTGTGGGGAAGCCCCCTTTTTCCCGTGTGTGCGCCTTGTACCCCGTTGTGGGGGTTTTCTGTACAGGTGGGCCCCCCTCTGTACAAAGGGGTGGGCCTCTATACCCGTTGTGGGCCCCCTGTCAGTGTGTGGAGCGTTTTACAGTGTGGGGGGTCTTTTGCAAGTGTTGGAGCTCTGTACAGGTGTGGAGCCTCTCATACCGTGTGTTTGGGGCCCCCGACCGGGTGTGGAGCCCCTGTACAGTGTGTGGACCCCCCGTCCCCGTGTTTGGCCTCTGTACGTGTGTGGGCCCCCTGCCAAGTGTTTTGGAGCCTCTTTACCCTTTTTTGTGGGCCCCCTTTTCCCTTTTTAAATTTGGGCCTCTGTTCCCGTGGTGGGGGAAACCCCCCGGGACAATTTGGGGGCCCCTTTTACCGTGGTTGGGGGAGCCCCTGTAAATGTGTGGGGAGCCTCCCGTACAGTGTGTTTGGAGCCTCTGTCAAAGGGGTGGAGCCTCTGTAAGGGGTATGGGCCTCTGTCCCGTTTTGTGGACCCCTTTTTCCCCGTGGTTTGGGGCCTCTTGGGGGGTTTTTTGGGGCCTCGGGACAGTGTGTGGAGCCTTGGGACAGTGGGTTTGGAGCCTTGTACAGTGTGTGGAGCCTCTGTACCGGTTTTGTGGGAGCCTCTGTTTCGTGTGTGGAGCCTTTGTTTTCGTTGGGGTGGAGCCCTCTGTACAGTGTGTGGAGCCTCTTTACCGGGTTTTGGAGCCCCTGAACAGTGTTGGGAGCCCTCTGTTTCAGTGTAAAGGAAACCCCTGAAAGTTTTGTGGACCTTGTTTCAGTGTATGGAGCCCGTTCCCGTGTTGGAAACCTTTTAACCCGGGGGTGGAAGGGCCTCTGTACAAAGGGGGTGGAGTCCTGTACGTTTTGTGGAGGGCCTTTACGGGTGTGGAGCCCCTGTAAATTGGTTTTGGAAAACCGGGACTGTGTTTGGAGCCTCTGTACAGTGGGGTGGAGCCTTGTA